GTTCTTTGGCAAGTTTATGCACAGGTTAACCCTCAGCAGTGCACTTACTGTTAATGGTCATTTTATTAAAAACAAGTGATAAATATACGTTACTATATCCTTCTAGCTACACCAGTTGGTAGCCTAATCCTCAAAAGTCAGCAAAAGTTAGGTTATATTTCCAAATGTTTTCACATTTTTAACATTTTCCTGAATAACTTTTAGGTAGAGAAGATGACTTTCAGAGATTTTTTACTGTAACCTGCTAACTAATAACATTGACAAAATTTTTCTACATCCATTTACATGCAGAAAAAGTTTTATAATTTGATGTATGTATTATTTATTATTATTTAATATTTTATTTTGCCTTTTACTTGATGTTTTTCCTATAACAGTGTGTGCTTCCATGGGAGCTGCCATTGTTGTGTGATGTTGTTTGGCTGCTACTCAGGAAGTCGGGGTACATATTTTTGCTGTGTTCCATTTGACATGGAATTCAAAGTGGAGTTCACGAGCGGGAAAACCGACTTCAAGTGGCGTTCGGTAGTGTTTTTCTAGTTGGAGGTCGGAAATTTCCCACTTCCGAGTTGCCTGGAAGGCAGCATAAGGCCTGGGCTATACCAAGGGCCTTCCCGAAACAGCTTGCTATAGTGGTGATTGTTTTTTTTTCAGGAAACTCATGCATATGCAGCAGATGAATCTGGAAAACTCAATGGTGCAGCGAAATTTGGTTTTCCAATGGCAGTAATTGATCAGCAGGTGTCGCTGTTTTAAAGGACAAATTTAAAGATCAGGTACTTCACTGTGAAAAAGACATGTATGGGAGATGGTAAATATGAATGACAATTTATTTTGGTTTATATTTATGCTACCAACAGTATACTTAGTAATGTAGCATTTTTCCAAGATACTGAATCCAAAATTTGCAACCTCTACTCAAAACCTCAGCTAAAGTAATATGGGGATGGGATTTTAATACAGTGTTTGATGAAAATATGGAGAAAAAGAAACTCACAGCAAATTATGTATACATGGTCTAATAAAAACTACTCCTTACAGTCATGGATTGACTTTTGGCTTGTCTCTGACGATCTGTCTAACTTGATTGTAGATGTCCTAATAGAAACAGCTATTTTAACTGATCATAAAGGGATTTTTATTCAACTTGACCTAAAAGACCATCATAAATATGCTGCAGGTTAATGGAAACTTAACAGAGCTTTACTAGATAAAAAATTTAAAATTAAAATTAAAATGACACTATTGAAAAATTTTGGAATCAAACATGTGCCGCAGGTACCTACGGATAACTCTGGGAATTAAATTTGAAATCCAAGCACCTGCTATGAACTGCCGGAAAACTACTTGCCCAAAAAAAGAGATCAGGAAACTAAATTATCAAGACAATTTTAGATTTGTAAATGAGGAAAAATGGAAACTTCACCAGTGAAGAAGTGATGAGTATAAATTTATTACAGGGTAAATTAGAAAAAAAATAGGGGCACCGTCATTAGATCCAGATGTAAATGGATTGAACAAGGTGAGAAAGACAAAATACTTTTTGGGATTAGAATAAAGACATGCTGAATTCGCTACAATAAATAAGTTGTTGATTTACGGAGTAGAAACTAAATAGCCTCAAAAGATATTATGATTTGACGTTAATGATGGTCTAACAGGAGAAAACATTTTCATCAAAACTTGTCCCTTTCTTACTTGCTGTATTCCAAGAATCTCTCCAAAAGGGTAAGCTCCCTGCTACATTAAAACAAGGATTAATTACATTAATTCCCAAACCAAAAAAAGATTAAAACATTTGTTTAAAACTGGATATGATAGATTATGAAAGACTTAAAGGCAGGGTAGGTAAGTTTGAGAAACTAGCAAGAAACTGCTGGATCTTGAAAGTATCCAACAGAGAAACTCCCACCCCCTCCCTTCTGGGCTCCTTCCAAAGCCACGCCCCCAAAACTCGTGAATGCACGTTGCCGACTCTGCTGGAAGACGAGGACAGTGTGACGAGCGGAGAGCACCAGGGGTAAGAAAACATCTAACTTTATCATTCACTCAGTCACTATCATACTAGCATGTTAACATTGGATAGGTTTAAAAAGACTGACTTTGATTCAGCAACGAGCTGGCTAGCTAACTGTTAGCAACAGGTAGCTGTGCTAACAGCTGCAGTAACATTGGGCAAAGCTAAAAACAGGCTGATACACATTTTCTCATTTCCATCAGTTACATTACATGAACGTGAATTTCGTGCAATTTATATTTCTGCGTCAAATCGAAGGCGTAGTCTCTGCGTAGCCCCCTAACCTTGGCGTCGAGGCAACATGGACCGTAAGCTCTGTGATTGGTCGGCTGGGTAGTCTCACAATGCCTCTGAGCCGACAGGAAGTGCCCGTGCTTTGAAGTAACTTTTACTAGCGGTCAAAACGGTGGCTGTAACACGGTGGATCGATATATTTGACCGTCGCAACCCGAGCGAAATGACTCGTTTCACTAGCAGAATGTGATCCATTCGGTCGATAACATTTGAAAAGGCTACACCAGCCGCACGTTTACAATTTTACCCCATTCACGTTAGCGGAGGACTAAACCGGAAGTTAGCCTGCTCGGCCGGGAAAGGTCAACACAGTGGACGCTTTAGCGCTACTGCCGACTGGTAGAGAAAATACAAAGTATATTTTTCCAAGTTTTGGATAATATTTTCATTCTGTTTTAAATAAAACATTGAAAATGATAAATGCCTTTTCTTTACACTTGCAGCATAAACAATCAAACAACTACATTTATGTCTTACGTCTCAAATAATGACATCCAAATGTGGTATAACACTTGTTTATTGTTATTATATACTACTAAAACTACAACCTATATCAAAAATAGATAATTTTGAAACATCATTTAAAATAAGTATATACAGTACAGGAAGAGATAAGGTGTGTCCAAAGGTGTGTTGACTGATTATGAAGACAGTTTAGAATTTGCACGTAGCATCGTATTGCTGCTGTGGAGATGATTAAATATATCACAATCACCTCTCTGACATTTCAAAACCGGCCATATTTGTAGTATGTTTTGCTGTATCTAGCAACACAGTTGGGGCAGGGACACCTGACTGAACCCCATGTTGACGGGGATCATCAGGTCTCCTGGTTCTGCTTCTAGGCAGCTCCTCAGTAGTAGACAACTACTAAGAGGAGGAGGAGAAGGAGGAGGAGGAAGAGGAGGAGGATAGCACTCTGGAGGTCTGCGATGTAACTGTAGTCCTTCTCCACCTTCAATGAGTAGAAGCTCCACTTCCTGGACTCCTTGTTTGTACACTTTACTGTACCTGATAATACTGAAAGGAGGATCAGCTTAGTCAAAAGTTTGTAATACCTGACATTGTTCTCTTATACAGTAGTTAGCATTTCCACATAAAATGTAATCAAAACAATAAATCTGCACCATCTATCTGTATTCCTCATGCTGTTAAATGTTTTTTGACTCATCACTTATAAATGTATTGAGTAAAATGCAAACAGGGTACCCCCAGGATTCTCAAAGTTAAATTTAAGACCTTTTTAATACCACCTGGGATGAAATTTAATACCAACTTCACTGCCGTATAATGGAAAAATTATTTACCTTTCTAGTCTTTTTGACCACTCAAAGTGTTTTTACGCTACATCTGCATTCACCAGTCATACACAGAGTGCTCAAACGGAAACTAACATTCACACTGGCGGCTGTTCTGCCAGTGGCAATTCGGGATTAAGTATCTTGCCCACTTCAACATGCAACCAATAGCCAGGGATTGAACCACCAACCTTCCGATTAACGGCCAACCAGCTCTACCTCCTGAGCCACAGCCTCCTCCGCTGTTTTAGTGCCAATTAGTGATCAGCTGATTCTCATGAACATAAAACATTTTATTATAATACATTCATATTTAACACACTATAGCTTTTCGGGGTGTGTTTGTACTTTGATAAGATAAAATGACTCAAGGACGTCACTTTGTGTTGAAAAGTGGTGGGGACATAAGGGTTCAGATTAGGGGTGTGACGATACTCTTAGCTCACATGCACCATTCACAATATTGGGTTCATGAGAACAAGACAAGACGACATTTTAACACCATTTTGATGAAATATTCAATGCTGAAATATATAAATAGGTGTCTGGGGGTCCCCTTGAAAATTCTGAGCACTAAAAAGATGTCATCTATGAGATAAAAGAGATTACCAATCAAGAAATGAGGTTTCTTTTAGATATATTAATGTTTATTATATATATAATGTGTATATTAATTATTATGTAAAACCAAATGTTTTTTGAATATTATTGTTACTTTTTCATTAATAAACAACTGACTACAGACAGCCACATGAAGAAATGAAGTGCTACATGATGTCTCATACTCCTGCAATACATTCATTTACGTTTTGGGAGGGTTGGTTCATCAAGACCAATACACCAAAGTAAATGAAGAAATTCTCAAACACTATCACATCTAGTGCATCCAGTATGACCACTGACAGATGACAGGACAATGTGAGCCTCACTGTTTCTGCACCACAGTCCATTATAAACCACATAATACAACATAATACATGAAGTATTGGCTGGTGAGAATCAAGGCTCCTCTCGCTTTGCTTAATTAGATAAGCAATCTACAAATCTTACCAAAATGCCTTTTGAATTTTTTGAAATACAACAGAAACACAAAGTAGTACTGACAGCCATAATTTCAGCTTGTGGTAAAACAGTGCAACATTTTTAATGGGCATTTAACATGTGAAAGTAAAAATTACACATTTGTGTGCACAGTGGGAAGCAATATCAATAAAGTGTTTTAATGCAAATTCAGAAAGTATTTATTATTGGTCACTTGATAGGCACACAGTCTTGTTATATATCACCATTAGCAGTAAAAAGAAATACATGTTTTCCACCAGGCCAGTAAAATGTGAAGTTTAGCTGCTGATCTGAGCTTCCCTGCTGGTACCATTTCATTACCAATAATATTCATCAGCTGTTTGTCTCACGAAGGTTAGGATTTCTGTCCACATAACAAAGTAACGTAAAGTAGAATAACGTATAGTTATAGCCTTCCATCTGGGAAAATCCAGAAAATCCATGATTTCTGCCGTCAGCTGTCAGTCCCGACTCCGTCTGGCTGTCGGCTCTCGTGCTAAATAACACGTGTGCTCCTTCAGTTGTCCAAATGTCGTCTTCTTGTTTATGGAATTTTATTGGCAGTTGGCACACAACGAAATGGTGCATTCCTGCCACCTGTCCAAATGTCACTTCTCTTCTTACTTCTAATAAACCAGAAGACTACTCAGAGTCTCTCTCTATCACAACAACAGACTAGTGGTCATATTGTCAGAGCTGAATACACAGCTACAACAATAATAAACATAGGCCAACAATGTGACAGTGAACCACAAAAAAATAGGATTTGAACTGTGAACTTTATTAACTTATTAAATCAACACGTCCATAACTTATGAACTATAAATAGGCTAAAACAAATGCTTTGATATGACTCGATTGGAAAAACTTTGCCAAAGGATTTTCCATGAACATCAGTGGACCAGAAGGCCTTGTGTGCAGTACTGGAGCATGTTAGGACTACTTCCTTTTATAAATGTTTTCTGGTCAGAAGTACAGTACTCGTGCAGCACTGAGTAGCTGTTTTAAACTGCTACAGTAAAACTAGGAACAGAAAAAGCTCACTCCTAATGAGCTCCACAGAGCTCCTGTTCTTGCTGAGAAATTGCTAATGAGCTTGAGTAATTGTAAAGGGTGGTATGAACACAGATTTTGGCTGAAATATTTGGCATTGTTTGCAGTAGTACTATCCAAACAATGAAATCACTCATAAATAATCTATCTACAAACATGTCTCAATTTAATTCAACACCAATTTTATGATTGGTCAGTAAATATATTTATGTATTTATTTTTTCAGTTTCTATTCAGCCTATTGTTAATTCTATAGTATTGAATGATGCAATTCTATAGATTGGTTAAGCATAACACATAGTTGTTTATACTCTTCACGTATTTTATTTTGATAATTAAATGTGTATTAAATAGTCTATATCTCTCTCATATCTCTTAGTAAATTAATGCTGATGTGACTGTATAGCCTACCTCAACCTTAAAAGACAAATCATACCATATTGTAGGCATGTGCTTCATTTACATTGTTTCAATATTTCTTAACAAATACGCAGCATATGAAATCCAGAGTAATCAATAAGAAAATTAGTTTTATTAAGTCATTAAACTGCCTCGGCATGCTGTCACAAGTCTGACAGGCCGACGTGCACCACGCAGAACACTGCCCGACAAATTGTGACGTTTGGCTTGATACTCTCTGATTGATTCTCCCTATCTCATCTTGTCTCGTCGTCGTGATGTTTAACATCATAGAGTATGATGTTAACATCATAGAGTATGGTCTAACATCATAGAGTATGATGTTAACATCATAGAGTATGGTCTAACATCATAGAGCAGCTTCTCTTTTATGAAAAGCGCTGTGAGATAACTGTTGTTGTGATTTGGCGCTATATAAATAAAATTGAATTGAATTGATTTTCATTGCTGTGACTCACTCGTTTCATTTAGGTAGTAACATTATGCCTGGTATTATTTTATGCATAGGGTATCTATTTTAGGTAGATTGGTACTGTGAAGCACAAGTAACAAAGTATTCTGCACTTATACTGTAACTGCAGTACCTTTCCATATTGGGTGATGTGGGCTAATGTGTCCTACTTGTAGTTAATGGGCACAAATGTTCAAATATGGCCCTTCAAGTAATATTTAGTTGTAGATGACACAAAGTGGTGTAACGAGCAAGAAATAAGCATTGCATACTGTATCACAATCATAAAAAACATAAAGGCACAATTGTGAAAATAACCTGTTTCATTATTCCTTTTGGTGATATGTATTCAGTCAACGTCAAAATGCAACTGTTCATTTTCATCTGTACAGGTAATTCCATTTAGACCACAGACCCATCAGTGCTGTATTCTAAGTTAGCCATGAAACAGTTAGCTAAGGTTAACTTATTTAGCTACCATATTGGATTTAATACTGTGTTACAAGGACTTTCCTACAATAAAAAGTGGACCTGGATTCTGCTGGGTTATCAAGCATCAGAACGGTGGTTGGCCCTCTCTTTGGCTCTTCTTCTGGCTCGCTGCAGTTCAGCCATCATGGGTAGAGGACCCTCATACATGTTGGTCTGGATTGATCTCAGCTTCTCCTGGTAGTCCTTTGGCAAGCCATTCTGCTCTGCTCCCATCACAATCACCTGCAGCAGTTGAAGCTGAATATATTGACTGTACTTACACTACAGATTTCAGCAAAAACAAGGATCAGTTCAAGTTGGGACAGGCTGCTCGTATCCCCCCTCAATGTTGAAAGCATTGCTTTGGCCCAGTCTGATGCGTTTGCTGCAGCTGACCGGCCGGTTGCCGCGGTCACGGATAATAAAGTAAAACATTATAAAAACTCCTGGTTGTCTCCTACAGATGAGGACGATGTTAAGCCGCGGTTCCACCAGAGGAACTATACCTGGGAAGGGAACCTTAAGAGGAACTCACTGCGTTTCCACTGCAGGGACCAGGGTCTAAATTTACGGTCTTTATTTTACCGGTACTTTGGGGGGGAGGGGCTTGCCTTGTGGTGAATTTCTGAATGGTCAAGTAGAGGCTACTGGCTTCAGATCGAGCATGTCAGCTGTTTTTCTACGACTGCTCCTCTCTTTTCCACCATTGTTTGCAAACCAATAAATCACAATCAACAGTCAAATAGCACACACAAGATTGTACGTCGGCATTAAATTTATTGCTCGGAAACAGCAGCCAAAGTGCAGCGGTGTGTTTACAGCTAACAGCTGATGGAGTTACGCTAAATACTGGGTCCGGAGTTGTTATTTTAAGTTTTCATCAAGTTTTCAAGGAGTTAGTCTCCTCCTCTCCAAAACAAGCAGACCTGCTGATTAAAGCAGGTAATAAAGCTCGTTAAAAATCATGTTCCTCCGACGCTCAGGCCGTAACATATGTGATTGCTGCAGCTGATCTACAGCTCTTGTCGGCTGGAAATGATTTAATGACCTTCCAAACTGACAAATTGACGTTTGTGTTTCTTTCCTTGTGCTGGACTTGATGGCTTTATCCAGTTTATTATATTTGCAATAAACTTTAACATGTGTCTCTTCATTATACTCCCACACAAAAAAGCTATTTTATAATGGTCAAGCATTGCCTCCATTTTTTCATTATATTCTAATCAAATCTGATGTTTATTTATAAATTTTGTATAATTTGCGTATAAGCCTACAGCCTACGTCAGCTGCTTAATTTGCCTAATTTTTGCAGGTCTTTAGACCGTGGTGGAAACACACACAACAGTGGGCTGAAGGAACCTTTTAGTTCCTTGAAAAGATATCCGGGGACAAAAAAGTTCCGGGTACTTTTGGTGGAATTGAGGCTTTAGTGGATATCCTGTCAACTAGTAAACTCTCAAATTTACAGATTTCTTTTTACAGTTCTCAGTGGGACAGATTGGACAAAATTCCAAATTTACAAATGTAACTTGACCCACAAATTGACAGGAAGTGATCGGCAAATGTGCAAAAACTGTTAATAACGCTTTGTATGTGAAATTAAAATTTGTGCACATTTTGCGCATTTTCAAATCACCCTGCATTGTTGTGGATATGATTTTACACAACACAAATGTAAAAATACATATTTGTGGATAGTAATAATACTTGTGCATCATAGTACACATTTGTGGATTGTCTTCTTTGGGTAACAAATATTAAAGTCAAATAAAAACTGCCATAATTATGTCCCCATCACTTCTGGAACCATTTGTTAAAAATGCTCTGAAAAATAGCTTATAGATGAAACAAATGTGCATTGTCCTAAAAAAAATAACTTAAGCCGAAAAAACAAGCTGCTGATTACTGCATTATAATCCATTATATTTTTATATTTATGAATTATTAACAGCCAACTGATTTTTGTTTTGTTTTCCTCTATTTAAAAAAAATAATTTCACCATAAATTGGAGCAGAAAATGTGTCCAGAATGCAGGAATTTAAGTGTTTAATGCTCCAATTTTCAGAGGGAAGGACACTCAGACGCCGCGCTCATGTATTTCAGCATTTATTTTTTCAAAATAGTGTGAAAAACCTTCTTGTCTTGTTATCGTGCATCGTCACGTCTCATGACCCAACTGTATCATTACGCCCCTAATCTGAGCCCTTATGTCCCCACCTCTTTTCAACACAAAGTGATGCCCTTGTTATTACTTGTTTAAATGCGGTAAGAATGGTTCATTAGTGACTACTCTACTCACCACCACAGTTTAATGTAACTCAATTATTTGTCAACAGTTTTTTAAAAATGCATGAGAGAAAGGGACCAAGACTGGAAGGGGGTCCACACGGACTGCTTGAATATAGGGCCCAGAATTTTGTGCTACGCCCCTGACTTTTTTGTTTTGTGTAATAGCCATGTGAGCTACACTATGTCAGGCTACAAAGATCACACTGAATTTGTAATTTCTCTATGCTGGCAGGGAACAATATAGTGGATTCTTGAATACACACTATAGAAGACAAAGCTCCAACCGCAAAGCCAAGCTGTCCTTCAATGCATACTGCTTTTCTCTTGTGCATGTTTGGAGCTCTAACATGTGCAAAAGAACAATCTGGTATTGTAGCCAACAAGCTGGCAGATCTGTAAAATATAGCATAGCAGAGGATGTGTGTCCTGAGTATTTTGACCAGTTGATCACATAGTCAGGTGACGAAGGGTGTAAGCACACTGATCCCTATTCCAGATGCTTCACAAAGAGAAATGGGTTGGAGTAAATAGGTGATGATGCCCCTGACCTGAATCATGATTGTATTCTTTTGTCTGCGTGATCAACCAAGCTTCATAATATAAAAACATGAATAATGATGAAAACATTTCTTGATTTTGTTGATAAAAAAAACATAACAAAGGTAGCATTATGGTTCTCTTAAACTGTAGTTACTGTTACATTTTTAAGAAACAAGGTCGCCTAGTTACCCACTAAATTTAAGACGTGATTTTTTGATGATGTTTTAAAAAAAGAATATCAGCAGATATGTCTTAAGTTATACACTAACATGTATCATGTAACTGTTAAATAATGATATCAACAATCCTGATACATTACTGTAGGATGCCAGTCAGAGTGTGAAATTAGTGCCATATATATTCTGGTGTAGGAGTGCTTCATCCTTACAATCAGACACAAAACACTGCTGCATGGTTACTGAACTCATTTAAACATGATCCACAATAACTGCATAATGTATCCAGTGAATCAGATAATACTCAGTCATTACCACCCACCAGCACTTGAATCAGATAACAAAATTAACTTGATGTTGCTTCTTGCAATGCCTTCTGGGACTGAAAGTTGCCCTTGTTCTTAAAGTTGTACACAGTTGCTTTTTTACACTTATGATTCAAACCCATCTTGATGATAATGCCAGCCATTCAACAAACACTGACTGTGCCACTCCGTTAATTATAGAAAATGAAAGTTTATTAGGTACACCTAGCTGAAACTTATCCAGTCTAATTGTCCTGCAATAAATCATCCCTTCTCGGAAGTTCTAATGTTTGTTAAAAATGTTTTCGAAAAGTGTTGTTCATGATCATTTAGAAGGATTTTGCTTGCCGTGCTGTTTGGACTGTATTGTACTGGAAGGCGTTTATGTTATTTAGCCACTCCTCATATAATATTTAAATGGAATTATAGAAACTACTGTCAATATGCAATACAACCTGAGGCCAAAGGTGAGGATGCCAATGATGGTCGTTCAGACTTTGCCTCAGGTGGCTCTAATGACCATAGCGACTGTCGTTACAACATCCAGAAGCACTAACGAACCAATTCAATTCAATTCAATTCATTTCAGTTTTATTTAACAGTAATCTCACAGCGCTTTTCATAAAAGAGCAGGTCTAGACCATACTCTATGATGTTATTTACAGAAGCCCAACAGAACCAGTGGTATCGATCATCTTGGACAAGTCCACTTGCCATTGATTTTAACATTCCTTGGATAACTATGACCTGGATGATTGAAAATCTTCACAGACAATACAACCAGGGCTGTAACTAAGGTTAAGAAATTAGTGAGGTCCAGATTATTTTTATTTTTTTAATAGTGCTTATTTACGGTAATTCATACCAAAATTAAACTAAAACACAGTTATACACTAGAGTCACACAAACTAAAAGTTTAAGGAAATACATACAAAGAAACCTGTTGGCAAAAACTACTTGTATCATTAAGTGATTTCATTGAAAAACTACATATAGCCCCTTTAAGAGAGATGCTGTGCACATTTACGTACAAGGCACAGCAGAATAACTTCCTATTAAAATCACCTGGCACACCTACAGGATCAGTCAGGTTCTAATGTTAATGTTTTAACACCACAAAACAAGTGGCTCCCAGCACAACACAGACTTCAACATAAACTCCATGTAAGGATACAAAACAACAATAAAGTTTTATATGCTGAAGCCCATAAGACAAAACGAGATTCAGATGATGTCAAGTGAAAACAGTCAACATCAGAAGGCTGTTACAGAGAGAGTCACGTTACCTCACCAGCTAACGTTGAGCAGTTGCTATCGTTATCCGGTGCAAAGTTGTAAAGCTTTCCATGTTACTATCATGTGTACCACCGGTATTTTGTCAAAGTGATGATTTAGCCCGAAGAAAGGATGTAACGGTAAAAAACAAATGTGGAGCGATTTGTTTACTAGCCTACCTGCCTGACCCACATAATATACAATAGGCTACTGCAACCAAACGGCAACAACAACACAGAGGAAAACCATAGAGTGTATATAAAAAGTGGACATAGACATCATGACGTCACCCGTTGGTTTGTGGACTGCCGTTCTGAATCCTCGAGTTTGAGTGATAGGGCGCTGTCATGTTGATTTTTTGCAACCAGTGGCACTGGACGTGACCATATTTGGACAAGACGGTGGAGCTAACGGCCGTGTGTGGAGCTAGCTAGCTTGCTTAGCTAGGTGCATCTGTAATTTATGTTAACAGTCCTTTTACCAAGGCTGACAATTTTGTCTACTGAACAACAGTCGAAAAACTAAATGTACTCACCAGAGAAAGTGAACAGCCAACTCTTAACCCCTTGACGCCGATTGTCGTGAATTCGCATCACACCTCTTCCTTGCAGACTGCAAGCCAAGATAGCGCATGGATTCCCCAAATGCCTGTTGGTA